CAAGAGAAAAAATGGTCAAATGTTATACCAGTTCCAGAAACATTTCTAGCAAAATTGACGAAATTTGTTCAAGATGGTCAGCTGATTTCCCCGACTGCTACAATGTAATGCATCTCTGCTCTACTTTTTAAGGAATTGCTGCGAATGAACTCCCACCAAAACATTATGATGAAACAATAAATTCATCAAGAGCATATCGTCTTGATCATGATACAAATGGAATTGTTTCGCTTCGTGTTATAATTCAACCACCCAAACCCCGTGAAAATAAAAAAAAACCGAAAACAGAGCCACGTAAGTTTGTGAGAGACTTTCTGAAATTTCGACGAACTCAAATCATAAATGCTTCACAACAGAGCAATAACGAGAACTCAAGGAAGATTTATCGTATGCGGCCGAATCTGGTAATGATTTCGGATAGGGTATTGCGAGTAAAATATTTGTAAGTAAGGATTATTTGTTTCATGTATACATTAATTTTATTATATGATGTGGTACAGTTGTTAGAGAAGTATAAATTTGAAAAAGAACAAGGCAAAGTGAAATATCAAGATTCATTCCTCGGATGAACTATTAGCATCCGCCGCGCAATTACTACTTACGTCACAAAATATATCAGCAGCCGGTTGCTTGTGAGACGGTATACTAGCTTGGAATTCAGTAATGGTAGATGCAAGTTTGATAATACGGTAGGCTGGTGGCTTAGCTTGATAGCTTCTGAGAAAGGTCTAGCTATCTGTATTTGGTTTAATATGGTTTGAAATGCAGCGAGTGCATCTGACCGGTTTCGTTTGCCGCTCAACATAGGCGGTCGATGTGGGCGGGACGATAGAGGCATAAGTGTCTGTGTTATGTTTAATATGGTTTGAAGCTACCAAGCTGGCCGCGCGACACTATACTAGCTTGGATGTTTCAGTAATGACGGATGTCGGTTCAGTAAGACGATGGCTTAGTGGTCTCGAGAAAGATGTAGGTGTCTGTTTTTTGTTTAATATGAGATGAGACCAGTCCATCCGGCCCATTTCATTTGCCGCTCTATATATGGGCGTGGAGATGAGAGAAATGAGAGAGTTCTAGGTGTCTGTATGTCGTACCAAGCTACCTACCCACCTATCCATCAAACCTACCAAAGTTTCAAACTACAATACTACCGTACACTGATGGGTTTAAAACTGTTTTTTGAAAGTTAAAAGTTGAGAAAATTTCTAAAAAAGTGACAGAATTTCTAAACAGTTAAAACCCTAGTTATAACTATGAACCACAGTTATAACTATCAAGTCGGATTGATCGATATAACTGTGGTTGAACGAGTTACCACTCCAAATGGGTAGAGTGAAAACTATTCCAACTCCAGTTATAACTGCATAAGTTTTAGTAATGCCTACTAACTTCAAAATAAAATTATGAAAGTTCATTTCAGTTTGTATTATGGTACAGTTATAACTAAAGTTGAAATAGTTATAACTCTCTCAACTGCAGTTATATCAATCAACCCGAGTTGATAGTTATAACTGTGGTTCATAGATATAATTATTGTAAATTTCTGACTAAAAGTTAAATTAGTTATACCTAATTTCAACTCCACCTAGTTATAACTCAGGTAGTTTACCCATCAGTGCTACCGTTACTGTATGGAATTTCGTAAAATATGAATCCGCAGCGCATTCGAATTTTCCATGACATCGGTTCATTCGAAAAGGAATTTGAAGATTGGGTAAATTTAAACAGTAGTGTTCTTCAATATTATACAACTGCAGGTCTTATGCTGATGTCACAAAGATGGAATGTTCTTTTTATCGCACCAGAAGGAGGTAGAATTCTGGGTGGAGCTAAATTCTGGAACCAAGTGATATTAGTGCAGATGATAAAGCTCCTGCTTTAATTGGAGGTTAGCTATAATATTTTGTGTTTATAAGTAGGTGAAATGAAGGAACTTTTTTTCTGTTTTCTAGGATGGGATGGTATCAGGCGCATGAGTAAAATAACAGCGAGTAATGGTTCGAAACAAATTTTGGATAAATCTTATTATTAGCAACTACTGAGAGGCGTTTTTCAGATTTACTGAAAAGTTTATCGTAGGTTTATTATGTGATAGATCAGCGAATGTGTTTGTGTGAATGTTATGTCAGAAGTTCCTCCTTCCATAAGATATGTTTTACTTGAATAGTTTCTTTCCTTTAATGTTGAATAGTGTTTATAGCTTTCGTTGCTCTCTCTCGTCATATTTGTATATCTCTCTTTCGTTCTGTACGTATATGGCATGGCGTCATGTTTTTATTTCATAAAATATGATTTTCCTCTCCTTCTTGCGTTGATCTTAGCAAAAAGTTGAAAGCAATATCGAATTTCTATTACGAATACAAACATTTGAGTGTTTAACTGCAGGCACCACAAGAGGCGGATTGTATCAAGCACTAGCAACAGGAAATAGGTGTTGTACCTACAACTGAACTGAAATTTTGGCGAAAAATGTTAACCTCATTCAGTTTGTGTATGAAAGAAAATACAAAATTTTCAAAAACTTATAACCAAAATTTACTTTCGAATGCAAGTATACTTTTGGTAGCAAAATGGTCTAAAAATCGTCCATCTTCGATGCACGATATGAATTTCGTTTTTCATTTCCATCATTACAAGTACTCTTATCGGAACTTCGAACATCAACGCAACTCTTTTTTTAATCAATTAATAAAAAAATCTTTTATTACTATACATTTTGTCATAATAAAAAGCTTTCTTTTGCTCGGCGAAAAAGCATCGAAAACTGTTGGGAGATGTCTCATTGTGAACAACACTTTTCTCTATTAGACTAAACTGGAGGACAAAACGGCTTGTCCAAAGGTAACGCTGTGACAGTTTTGACACAGTAATTAGGGGTTTTCTCGAAAACTATAAGAACTACAAAGTTTGTTTTTACGTCATTCGACGCGACTCTTCTTACTCTAGCTTGAGTATAAAAGCAAAGACTTTTGGTTAAAGACTCGAGCTTCTAGAAAACCCTTTTAGGCCCGTAACGCTGTGACATAGAAAGGCCCTAAATTCTAACTACTCCTCATTAAAGTGCAAATCTCTGCGAATTTAGAAGAGCTAGTAAAACGTGTCTCGAGCAAGGTGTATAGAGGAGCTAATGAACTTTCTTTTGCTAAAACGAATTTTTTCAGAGCCCTTTACTTTGTTTATAAAACCCAGTTTACCAAAAACGCTGCGACGCACTGTTTTTTTCTTTTGCGTATTCTCACTTCAAATCAGTTAAAATTTGACTGAATATACTTTTTAAGCTTCGTGATAGATGTCTTTTCGACTTACACAAACATCATTAGGCGCAGAATTTCACAGCGATTCTGAATATGTATAAATTATCGAGTTTCAAGTTAGTCATAGTGA